AGTTATTATCCTTAACTTGATGAGTTCTTTGCCAATGTAATTGTAAACCTCTATTATTTTTAAAAGTTTTGTGCTGGTATAGTGAACACAAAATCTGCATCATGATTACTAGTACATATGTATGCATGTTGTATTTTATATAGTATAAATTTTTTATAAATTGTGTAATATTTCAATATTGTTTTGGTGACCTAAATTTGATTATTTATAATAATTTGAGTGACCTAAAAAAAGGGCCAATTTCACAAATTGGCCGATATGTATCACTGATCTGTGATAAATTCTTGCATAATGCTGATCCCAGAATTTATCGGATTTACTTTCACCGGGAAATTTCTAGGAAATTGAATATTTTTTTATTGCAGTATTAGTGTTTTTTGGAGTTATTTATTGGTGCGATTCCATCATTTTACTGTCGTTTGTATTGTTGCTACAGTTTCTTTTAGCTTTTTCAAACTAACCTATCCTTTACCATATACTTATTTTATCACAGTAATAAATTGGTTCTATAACATAAAAATTTTTTACATTACATCAAGATAATTTCGATACAAGCCTTATGCAACGCGTATGGTCCCAATTCTGATTCCACACGTGTATTTTGTAAGCTATGTTCTAAAAAAAGCTAAAATACCCAAAAAAGCTTAAATCGTCATAAAACAATAGCTCATTCACATTATAATACACCACAAGTTGGACTTATTTCACAACCACCAGAAGCAATTATTGAATTTAAATGCCTGCTAGTTTATATGATACAAACCAAATTAAAAACTAGTGTACAGGAAGCGGGACGACAATTAGTCACAATTCCTTGTCTAGAAAGTCAATTTATTGGTGTATTTAATGGATATATTAACCGATATTCACCAAGCTGTGGATGGTATTGATATATCTTTACAGGAACTAATGCTTATGAAAAGTTAGAACAAATTTTTAGAGATGAAAAGTGGGGAGTTTGAGAATATAAAAACAACCAACAAACCTGGGTAATTTTAAATAGATTAGAAAATGAAAAAACTAAATATTTAAAAATTTGATAGGAACGCAAAGAATTATAGATGTAGCAAATCATATATCAGGTACTGGCTATCTTTTTATTCGATTTAATATTGCTCAATTTTATTTTAAATAAGAATACCCTTTTTTATTTAAATAAATAAGTTCGAACACCCTTTTATTAAATTTTAA